GCCAGGATGGTCTTGATCTCGTGACCTCGTGATCTGCCCACCTCACCCTCCCAAAGTGCTAGGATTACAGGCGTGAGCCACTGTGCCCAGCCAGATTCCAGTTCATTTTTCTTGTGAGCTAAGGCAGACCACATATGGAAAATTCAGATTCAAAGATAGTTAAGAATAAAAAACCCAGACTTATTTTAAGATTATTGTCACTTCAAGTCTGTAATAAACCATTAAAAATAAAACAATGCACACGGTATGCAAGTATAGAAGTAGAAGTGACTCCTACCTCCTCCTAGTTCCTCACAGAGACCAGAGAGATATACCCAGTTGGTGGCCACTGGTGCTGGTTGAATGTGAAACCCATGTGATCATGTGGGAGGTACTATGTCACTACTCCAAGATCCACCTGCTACTTTATAAGAAACATCTCTATCACAGATACATACTTCCCTTGTTTAACTTCTTACTGTGTCATTGGTGCCACAGCAGGCCTAGCCATGTCTTACCTCAGGTGGGGTTTGACTAAGGAATCTATATTTATAAGAAGGACAGCAGAACATTTCAATGCAGGGAGTCCACAGATAGCAGACTTCACCTAAAACCAAACAGTAATCCAGCAATATGATTTGTACAGAATATCACCTCCAACCAATAGTTTTAGTTTCCTCTGTTGGCTTTGAATGTCCACTCTTAAATATTAGAGAAGAAATGAAGTAAGTGAAATGTTTCTCCTCTCCCTACCTTTAGCCTCTGAAGGAGCTCTTAGCAAATACACCACAATTAGACTTTTTTCCATGTTCGTAAGAGCTGCTTTAAGATTACAGTGACAGTATCACTTGTCTGAAAAGATGAAAGCTGAGACAATGAGATCCAATTGTAATTAATTGTAAAGTATATGTATAAAATAATTTCTAACAGGCTGACTGCACTGCACAAGAATAAAATAAGAATACACCCCCTTGAAACTTTAAGAAGCTCTCCTGTTTTATGTTTATATATGTATTTTGTTTTGGACCCTAAAGAGGCTCAAAATGTGTAAGTTGTTATTTACTTGGCAGGCCACTAGATGGTGTGGTTTGTTAATGCATTACTTTTGGTTTTATAATTAAGGCAGATTTCATGGAATGCTATTTTCTTAGATAATTTTATTAAATATTATTAACTTAGAAGTTTAAAATTTTAAGTGACCTGAGAGATAATCAGTATGGCAAAGTCTAGACTGGAACCCCAGTCCCCTAAAATCTTACTCCCTGCCATTTTCCAGCCCTTAACTAAAAAGTGTGGGGAAAAAACTGTTCAAAAAGAAGCTCTTGAATTGATCATGAGATTTTGAGACCAATAGCAAACAAACACATGATGTGATGGCCAAACAGAAGCTTTAACTATGTAAATATTTCTTTAAATGTTAGTTTTTTGTAAAAATTCTGTCTGTTGTATAGTGAATCTTCAGTGAGTCTTTTATGACCTTCTGCTACAGCAGTTACACAGGTGGCATATAAGTATACTAAATCTCACCTCTGGACTCCCAGTAAGCCACAGAACAGAAGTAATGTTGTTACAGTAGTCCCACCTTATCCATGGGGCATATTTCCAAGATATGAAACCACAGATACTAGTGAACTAACTTGATTGCTGTCAATTAAGATACATTTCTGTTCATGTCTTCCACCCACACATTTAATGCCTTTTTCCTCTTAACTAAGTATGTATCAAACATTGTAGCCGTAACTTTTGCAATTTGAACCTTTATTACCTTGATTTTTTTTTTTTTTTTTGCAACTTCACGAATAGAAGATTTGTTGCTCTTACCATCAATTTTAGCAATCAGCATACAATTTTGTTTTTCTTTCCTTAAGTTGAAAGCTTTCACCTTTTCACTTAAAGGAAACACTTTATGGCTTCTCTCTGGCAAATTCAAATTGCCAGCATCACTAATGTTGCACTTCAGGGCCATTATTAAGTAAAATAAGGGTGACTTGCAAACGCTGTGATACTTAAACAGTCAATCTGATAACCAGGCCTTCTACTAAGTGACTAATGAGTGAGGAGTGTCTACAGCTTATATATGCTGAACAAAGTGATGATTCATTTTCTGGGCTGGATGGAATAGGACAGTGTGAGATTTCATCTAGCTGCTCAGAAGAGCATGCAACTTAAAACATGATTTATTTATTTCTGGAATATTCTATTTAATATTTTTGGACCACAGTTGATCTCAGGTAATGGAAACCACAGAAAGCAAAACTACAGATAAGGAAGGACTACTGTATACTCAATGCACATGTGTAGTTGAGGAGCTAAAACAGATGGTCAGCTTGCTATCAAAGATCACCAAGAACACAACTGTAGGTGAACAAAGCTGGGTTTATTGACTCACTGCAATGAGGAACATCACAGGGGAAGCATCATGAGGATCTCAATAAGAAAGGAGAAGGCCTCAAAGGCAGTGGGTCTGGAATAAAAGCGTAAAGGCTCTGAAGTAGATATGGACTTGTCAGAAAATATACTCAGAAAAGTCAGCCGTTGTGGCTGAGGTGGATGAGGTAAGGAAATGAGATTGATTTTTGTAGGGCCTTGCACTATAATGACTCTGGCCTTTACTCTTAAGGAGTTAAGAAGCCACTGAGATTTAGTTTTATTTTGAATAGCATATGTTTTGAAGGCTAAGAAACATGTAATACTGACTGATTGCAAAAAGAGACTTCTGGATGAAAGAGACACTTGCTTTTCACCTCTTTTCTTTTGAATTTTGTGACATATTTTGTTATTACCTATTTTTTAAGATAAGTAACATTATTATTATTTTATATAAAGCATTGTATACTAAGACTTAGTAATACCTTAAGATGCTTAAAAATAATTTTCTGATTTCTTTGATAAAACTCATACAACAGAAATGCTAAATAACAATTGCTTTTAAATGCTGAATAATACTCTTATGCTTTCTTGGTGTCTAGGTGCAAAGGTCGAGAAATAAGCAAGTACGAGAATTATTCCCAGATGGTTTTAGTATTCATCATGCAGGAATGCTTCGGCAGGACAGAAATTTAGTTGAAAACTTGTTTTCTAATGGGCATATCAAAGTCCTAGTGTGTACAGCTACATTAGCCTGGGGTGTCAATCTTCCCGCCCATGCTGTTATTATTAAGGTAAGAGCTTACCTTCCTTGATATATGGATTTGTGTGTGTCTTAAAGCAAGCCTCTTGGTTGATTTATTTAGGAAAATATTGTGATTTGTCTGTTTCCTTGACTTTGAATGTTATTTATAAAAGGTCAGAATTATTTTCTCCAGTAAGAATCTAGTTTATATTGTGAAAAATTAACTCTATCACGGATGATGAAAGGATTAGTTAAAGTACACTTTTGAGATCTTGCCATATTTGCCTAATTTCAGTATTCAGTTCATCAGGATTATATTTGTGTGTGTTTATGTAAATTTTTGTTAACTTTTCCTCATCTAGGGAACACAAATATATGCTGCAAAAAGAGGCTCCTTTGTTGACCTTGGAATTTTAGATGTCATGCAGATATTTGGTCGAGCTGGACGACCACAATTTGACAAATTTGGGGAAGGAATCATTATAACAACGCATGATAAACTCAGCCATTACCTCACTTTGCTCACCCAACGAAACCCAATTGAGAGTCAGTTTCTGGAAAGCCTTGCAGATAACCTAAATGCAGAGGTAAGATCTAATGAGTAAAAGTTTGGAATAGAATCATCAGCCTTAAGAATGACCAAGAAAATATGTAACAAACCCGCACGTTGTGCACATGTACCCTAGAACTTAAAGTATAATAAAAAAATAAAAATAAAAATAAATAAAAATAAGAGAATGACCAAGAAAGATAAAGGTTGAGTTGGTTGCTATTTTGTAGTGTTTAGGATTACAGCCTATGCCATATAGTTATAAGATAAAACAGGCTGAATGGCATTATTGTTGATTAATTCAGAGGATTATAGAATGATAACTGATAAAAAATCTATTGCTAAAAGACCCTATTTTGAAACTATGAGGCTTTGCTAGAGACCAGAAATCTAACAAAGACTGTAGAAAATATGGAAACAAATAGCAATAATAACTAATATTTGGCACTTTTACAAAGTTTTACATGAAGTTTTTACTAAAGGTTTAATAAAATTTATAAAACTCTTTTAGCTCTATTAGGTCAGTTGATTAACTTTGTTATACACAATGTGATTGAGCTAGATTGTGATAATTTGTTTCGTGTGTGTGTGTCTGTGTGTGTGTGTGTCTGTGTGTGTGTCTGTGTGTGACTTTTATGTTAAGATTTACATAGCAGACCCTGGAAGCGTAGGTAACATCTTAACTGGTAAAGAAAATAAACGTTCTTAAAATTTAGAGTATATGTATAGAACATTCAAATCAGGTTTGACTGTTTTTGTGACATTTTAAATTATAATTTGGTATTCAACACTTTGCTAATTCAGTATTCTTTCATACCTTTAAAGTTGACTCAAACAATAATTGAAAGTAGGGAGGATGTAAATATTAAGTAAATGACTACTTTGAAATATTTATAATCAAATACTACTTATTATGTACAAAGTCCTATATTAGGTACTTCCTAAAGAGCTTATAGAAATTTAATCTAACATTCCAATCATATTATTTATAAGTCTTTTTAGAGAATGAAAAACACACTTACTACTTCGTTTTCTCTATTAAGAAGTGTATATTCCAAAAGGGGAGAAAAAGACATGAAAACACAGTGCAATAATGTTGGAAAGATAGTTCTGTAGAAGGATTCAGCAGAAGGAGAAAATAGGTTTGTCCCAGGCTATCAGGAAAGTTTTGGTTCATGAATGTGGTAAAATTTGATCCGTGAGAGTATCTTTATTTTATGAGAAAATGGGGACTTTCAGGTGAAGTGAGTAGAGTAACAGCTTGTCTAGTGCAGAAGATCTGTGTTGGAGATAATCTACAGCCAGAATTGGGACGGTCATTCAAAGAATGGATAAGTTTTAGAAGATAATGGTTAGAGAAAATAGCATGAAAGGCCTCATTTTCTATTAGCAAAATTATAATAACATTTTTAAAAACTGAGAAATAAAATTTGAATCCAAAGGAAATATTATTATAGCTCAATTTCAATCCTACTGGCTACTATAATTGTGTGGCTTAAATAATTGAGTCTTGGATTAGCAGTGTCTAATGTGTGGAACACAGTCTCTTAATGTAAAATGATAGTAGCAGTGAACTGAGGACCTGCTGTATACCAGAGATTCTGCTCAGTGCCTCACGTACATTCTCTTATTCTCTCAATACTGCTGCTATGGAGATATTATCCTCAGAGTGATATGTAATTGACCCAAGGTCACTACATTATAACTTTTGAAACTAGTATTCAAACTCAGATCTATTTAACTCTAAACCTAGACTTTTCATTATGGCTTAGATTTCTTGTATATAAAATTTAAGTTGAAGGTGAATACATTTACTTATATTAATATATAGCCTTTGCCCTCTTCTAAGGCCTATATGGAAAACATTTTCCAAAATGGTAGCCATAATTTTTCCGACTTGCAGTAAAAGGCGTGGTTCTTTTATACACATCATGAGATGCATGTCAACGAAGACTATATCTCAAATGTAGAGGCCTTAAATCCAAGGACAAGGTGTTTGAAAGTAACATTCTACAGAATTGGGATGAACTCTGTATAAAAAATGTATGTAGTATGTAAGGTGAAAGAAAGATTAACATAGTTTTGAAGAACAGACTTGAATACTAAAGTTAGATATGAAGTGATATCTTAAAATGCATATCAAGGAAGACTATATCTCAGTAAACTTATGTCCTTAATAGCTTTTTGTAATTGGTAAAATAAACACAAGTTGGCAATCTTATACAGAAGACACAAAGTCAGTAAAATACTGCTTTTTTTCTTCAAGGAAGTATTTTTCTTAGGGACTGTAAAATAACATCATTGAAACTATTTGATCAAGGCCTGAGAAATTAAAAATAAATTAGGGTCCATACACTTATCAAATATTTATAAAGTACTTATTAAATGTGTGGTTTTCAGAAATGTCAGCTAACTATACACATAATTCCATTTAGTGATATAAATGGTATTTAAATAACAAAACATGTATCTTGACATTTTTTACCAATATAGTGAAGTGTAGCCATTGTTGAACTAACTTGCTCATATTCTAATCTATTGGAATAGTTCCCTGTTAAAGTAAATTTTCCTGTTAAGGAAACAAACTCTTAAATTATTGTTGAATATTAAATTAAATTTGACTATCTGTGGAAATCAAATGTGAAATTGGTTTATAAAATGAATATGTGTTCTGTTCTTTAGGTAAAGAATTTTTAAGTCTTTAGATTCCCCAAATCATTGCAAGACTCTACGGTTGCACTAATCAACATTAGAGTCGCGCTAGATTAAGAATGTTGCCTCCATTAATATCTTTTATGTCATGAGTATCAATTCTGACTATTGCTTTAGGAGAACTGGAGAAATTATTATATTGTTATAATTTTAATGCAAACATGTTATGAGGCACATTTGCTTATCGATGCATAATGAGACTGACTAAATAATCCTAATGCTGAAAGGTCATAAGTCCCATCCATATATAAAGTCACTGAACTTTACACTGAGAGAAATACTGAGGTTGATTAAAATTTATTCATCACACATTACTGAGTACATACTCTGTGCCAGCTCCCTATAGTCTGTTCTTCAAACTATGTTAATCTTTCTTTCACCTTACATACTACATACATTTTTTTATACAGAGTTCATCCCATCTCTGTAGAATGTTACGTAAACACCTTGTCCTTGGATTTAAGGCCTCTACAGTCTGAACGACCTTCCTAATTCTGGCTACAGTTACTCTCCAATACAGATCTTCTGCCCTAGACAAGCTGTTGTTACTCTATTCACTTGTAAATAAAGATACTCTCACTGGATTGTTGTGGAAATTTAAGAAATGCCTGTGCCAAGGTAGTTTATGGTAAATGATAGAGTCACTTACCATTTTCTGATAGTCTGTTGATATTCAGCCCTGTTCATACTTATTGCCAGCACTGAAATTTTAGATAAATAATGAAGAGTAGCATAGTTTTTATATGTATTTAGTAGCTTATATATATATATACACACACACACACACACACGCATGCATACTCACGATGATTATAGTATTTGCTTAAGTTTTTATATGATTTCAACCATGTTTTTAAATTACATATTCAAATAAACAATTGAGGTTACCTTAAATACTAAAGTTAGATATGAACTGATATGGAATCTTATTTCTAAATTACCAAATTTGTGTATGGATTTTATTTTTCTCTTTTACTTAACAGAACATAAAGCTATCACACTGTATACTAATGCCACTTTCAGAAATGTCATGTTAGATGTTTTTCTTTAAAAGCATTTTGAATAGGTATTATGTGCTAGGCACAATGGATGGTGGGTTCATATAAGTCATTGTGGTTAGTTACATATGTCTCACCTCCATATGACCCTGGAACTTCTTGAGGCTAGGGAGCATACTCTATTTGTTACCATATCCATTGTGCTTTACTTAGCACAGGCTTGTTACTGACTTACTATATGATTTTGAGATGAGTGAATAAATTTCAAAGACGTACTATGAAAAAATTCCTGTTTTATAAAAGGCTCCTGTGCTAAGTAGCCACTAGGTGACAGCAAGTATTTACAAATACATTTTTATTTTTTGTCACTAGGTGGCATTCAAATATTACTCTCAAAATAAGGTATAGCGTCATACCTTTACCTTCCTTTTTCTGAGTAGTCTTGTCCTTTTTAGTGAACATTTACAAGACTTCCTTTAGTTGATCCAATCTTTGCTACATACTTTTTCCTTTCCTTTAATCATATCACTGGTAGCAATAGGTAATTTTTAAATGTTAATTCACTGTCTGATTTTGAAAATAATAGCAAGCTTATTTTATCCCTTATAAATTTTTCTACTCATAGGAGTTGTGTGATGTTACTTTAAAATAATATTCTAAGGTTCTAAGGGAATGTTGGTCATTATTTTAAAGTAACATCATAAAGTCATGACGGGAATATAGGTCATATGTCTATGGTTTAATACAATTTGGTCTGTCAAATAATGAATTCACAAAGGAGAGAAACTCTCAGATTTTTAGCCGTATCACCAAACTAGTTTTATTTACCTAAGTAGATTAAAAATGTTTAACTGTTTTAGTTGTAAATCTTCATGAATTGTTACACAACTCCCACACTGGCTCAATTTTAGTTCTTGCTACTCTTACTTTGGTGGAAAACCTTACAGTTTACACTAAATATATATATTTACCTACATTATGGATGGCTTGGCCATTTGTAATATAAATTTAAAAGTTAGTAGACAGAATCTCGCTTATTATATTTCAACTTTTGGTCATTTCTCTGTTTTAGTAACAAATAATATATCATAATATTATAATGAAAATTATACATTACTAAATCTCATCTTCAACTAACTAAAGACAATTAACCATCCACATATTTCATGAAATTAGTTATACAGAATTATAATAAAAAATTATAATGTAGGAATTAAACGTGAAGGTTTTACTTTCTTTTATTTTAGGACTAAATCGAGAGGGTTTGTTTTTCCTTTTTTTCTCCTAAAATTACTAATTTAGGTCAGGAACATCTCTTCTCCTTTAATTAAAGTATTAAGAGGTTAAAAACAATTTCAGCCAAGAATTCAGGAAAAAAAATACAACTGTGAAGTTTTACAACGTGGGTAAATTTTTAAAGTAAAGTAAGTACCTTAAGTAAAAATAAAATTATGACCTATAGATCCATTGGCTAAGGAAATATATTTCTAAGAAACTTTTCATTGAAATTCTTTGTTAGTGTCTTCTTCTAATAATTCTTTTTTCTTTGTTATATAGCTCTTATATGCTATTGTTGTGTTTTTAAATTATTAACCTTTGATTTCATTTAATTAATATATCACAAAGCTACATTAAATGCTATATTAAAAATAATATTTTCTTTCAAGAGATAATCTGAAGAGTTATCCACTGTTTATTATGGTTCAAATGCATGAATATTTTTTCCATAGGTTAAGTTTACTGATAAATAAAAACTACTCCCTGTTGTTGTACATCAGTTTGTTAAAGTGTATGTATTATTAATATGTATAAATCACAACAAAATCTGCTTTGTTTCGTGCAAAACAAGTGAACTTTTTATTGTATTCATATTACATCTCTTTACTTACAGTCCTGCAGATGCATATCTTTAGAAGTAAAAGCTGAGGATATCCCCTCTGTGGTTTTTGTGATGACAGTATACAGAATTAGGATAAAAATGAACAGAATTAACAATGTTTTGTTGTTTTTATTCTGATGCACTTAACACTTATGTTTTTCAGCAGTGTAGTCACATAAAATGAAACTAAAATAAATTGTATACTGAATAAAAAAAAAATAACAAAAATGTCCTTAATGCTATGTAGACTTAAACTCCTTTTAAAGAAAAATAATCATCTGCCATAATATTGAGTAAGTTCAGTTCTGAAAGATAACATTTTTCATGTATCATTCTCAATTAAATGAGGCAGGACTGATTTTAATTAATTGGCAAAGTGTTGTGTCAGTCACTGTGCCTACCTTTTTAAAAATGCACAATGATATATTTTTAAAACTTCACCTCTGACAGAATGATCTTTGATGTAATGTTTATGTTCAACTTTAATACATTAATTTTTGTCGTATTTTTGATTTGCAGATTGCTCTGGGAACAGTTACTAATGTGGAAGAAGCAGTGAAGTGGATAAGTTACACTTATCTTTATGTACGGATGAGAGCAAATCCATTAGCATATGGCATCAGTCACAAGGCTTATCAGGTAGAAAATTCATTTATTAAAAAAAAAGTTCAGACCTTCTTTTTGGTTCTTTCATGATATGAGGATAGATATTTGTTTGCTGCTCTTCCCTCATCTGAAAAGAGGTACCTAGAAGAAGAACAAGAGATTTAATATTTTTCAAAAAATTAGATAGGCCCTTGTAGTTATTAGGCAGGCTACATTTAAATCTTTTTCTACAAATACTTATATTAATCTTTGTACTATTATCCATGTATTCAAGTATATTTCTATTGGATATTAATATTTTGGTATGTTTTTTAAGCTATGAGAAATTTCATTTTAGAATGAATTAGACATGAGGAAACTTATTGACCATATTTGATAATCGGCTTAGGTTATATACAATCTGTTCCTCTTATCAAGTCTCTTCTAATCCCTATTCTGAAATTTAAATATACCACTAAAGAGTTACTATCTTAACAGTTAGAGGACTGGAATCAGTTCCACTATTCAAGTTCATATACATAGACTAAGAATTAGATGAATTTGATAGCAGTTCTTCCTATGAACTTTACAATGGCTTACAGATTCTGTGAAATCTTGTCTTTCTTTTATAACTCTCCTTCATATATTGTAAATGTATCCTAATTGCAGATAAAATACAGTTGTTGTCTAATGAAAACATTATTCTACAATGATCATATGGATATTTACTAGTATTAAGTCAAAATTCATAAATAAGTTGAACTTTGTTCAAAATTAGAGTTTCACCTAATTTACTGTAACTTAGTTTTTATGTAAATCCTATTGTGTTATCAAAGCAGTTGCTAATTTTTTAAATTTTATTTCTTTTATTTTTTTCTTTCCCTATGCAGTAGATTTTACCATGGGAAAATTGAAACTTAAGGCTTGGGGGAAGAAAAATAAGAAAAGCAGCAACAGCAATTAGTTCTGAGGCTGTTAAATCTGAAGCCGTTATTAGGTTTTTATACTTAGATTTACTCTAGATGGGACTCAACTACCTTTCTTCTTCTCAGTTGAAATTTGTGCTAATCTTTAAATGAATGTTTACGTTTACAGCCAAATTGCTCTGTTATGAAATATAACTGCACTATAACCTGTAAACTTACACATTTAAGGAATATGGCACTAGTTATTCTCTTCACAAATGTGGGCATTTTGAGGAGAGTCAGTGGCACTATTAAAATGCTTTCGGAACTCCCCGGAGCAAGATGGCTGAATAGGAACAGCTCCAACCTTCAGCTCCCAGCGTGAGTGAAACAGAAGACGGGTGATTTCTGCATTTTCAACTGAGGTGTAGACTGACACCTCACATCTCACATGGTGGGGTACACCCCTGAGATGAAGCTTCCAGAGCAAGAATCAGACAGCAGCACTCACTGTTCAGCAATATTCTATCTTCTGCAGCCTCTGCTGCTGATACCCAGGCAAACAGGGTCTGGAGTGGACCTCAAATAATCTCCAACAGACCTACAGCTGAGGGTCCAGACTGTTAGAAGGAAAACTAACAAACAGAAAGAACACCCACACCAAAACCCCATCAGTACGTCACCAGCATCAAAGACCAAAGGCAGATGAAACCACAAAGATGGGGAAAAAGCAAGGCAGAAAAGATGGAAATTCAAAAAATCAGAGCGCATCTCCCCCTCCAAAGGAACGCAGCTCATCGCCAGCAATGGATCAAAGCTGGACCGAGAATGACTTTGATGAGTTGAGAGAAGAAGGCTT